TCGCAAGGAGGTTCATGCCTTGGGACTTGGTCCAGGTATTTGGGCATTCAGTGAAACTCAGTTGTCCACTTTCACTCAGCTGATTTGCACCAAGAACTTCCGAAGGCTAGCCCGTGCAGCGGGCCGTGCTCCGACTGTCCTCCATGGAGCCGCAGCGCCAGTTCGTCCCTCTTCCTCTTGGGCGGGGGCCTGGTGTGGTGTCTCCGTCCTCAGTGATCCTCCAGCTCAACGACTTCAGCTTTCTTGCCCCAGTGAGGAGTACAATTGCGGCCGATTACAAGCTACCCGTCATGTGCTCCCAGGACTGGTGGTGACAGTTGGCAATGTCTACTGCTACCCACGAGGGCCGACATGGCCAAACTCCAAGCAGCTGAACAATCAACTTCTTCATGTGCTCAGTGGTGAAATTGTTTTTGGCTGCTCCGGCCCAAGGGTCATTCTGGGTGACATGAACTCGGACTGCATGGATCAAGAAGTTTTTGACATCTGGCAACGGCTGGGATGGCAAAACTTGCAGCAGTTTGCTCATGATCATTGGGGTTGGACCATTCAACCAACCTCTAAGCACTCAGCAGTCAGCGACCACATATGGATGAGTCCGGAATTCATCGAGCTTGCGAGGGACATTGGTCTTCGAGATGTTTTTCCTGACCACGCCTCACTTCATGTTGACATAGAGGTCCCTGCTTTGTTGGCTTCATGTCGTTTTTGGCATCGCCCTTCAGCTATTCCTTGGGACTCAGTTGATGACACCTGGACTTCAGTACCCAGTGAGCATCTCTTTGCCTCAGACAATCCTACTGCCGACTATGCAGCTTTTGGTGCAGCTCTTGAAGCTAGTCTCGATGGCCATATCATCGGACAACCGGACCGAAGACTTCAATCCAATCAACGTGGCCGGTGTCAACAAGTGACTCCGCATCTTCGACCTCCAATAGCCAGAACATGTGCTCCAAGTAGACGTTCTGAAGTTCAACTCCGATCAGATCAGGTGGGCAGTGCAGTGCAGAACTGGTTTAAGCAGCTCCGGAGGTTGCAGAGCTACGCGCATGCAGCTAAAGCCAATCGGCAGGATCCGACCGCCCTGACAGCTCGGCTGGAGCTCTGGATGTCCATTCGTAAAGCTCGGGGCTTTCGACATGGATTTAGTCGCTGGTGGGAGACCTATAGTTTCAGGCACACAGGAGCTGCACCCTCAAGAGTGCCACAAGCACCACCTAATTTTGCCATTGCTGACAACATGTACCACGTCTTTTTGGAGGCCTTCCGCTCTTTTGAGCATTGGCATCTCTCGCAGAAGCGGCGACTTTTTGCCCTCCGCTATGACCGCACACTTCTCGCACTCCATCAAGATCTCAAGCCAGCCCCTCCTGAACGCATCACTCTGTTCTGGGATGATCTGGAATATGAAATACTTGACATTGATCCATTGTCATCACAGGTTATGCTGGATAAGGACATTGCTTTGGGAACCTCCACTTGGTCCCTAGATGGACAAGAGCTTCATGTCTCTGGCATTGACCAGAATGTGTGTGAAATAGCCCCTCCTGAAGCACGTCAAATCGGGGCTCAGCTGATCCAACGCCGTTTTCTCCACAAGGCAGATCAGATCCATGAATCTCTTCTTCAATTTTGGAAAGCCCGATGGTGTGCATTTTCAGATGTTCCTGCAGACAGTTGGGAGCGTGTTACCAGATTCATTCAGGCCTTCGTTCCGAAGCTGCGACTGACACTACCACCCATCACAGTTGCTCAATGGAAAGCAGGGCTTCGACGTTTTAAGCCCCATGCAGCTAAAGGAGTTGATGGCCTTGGTCATGTCGACCTCCTTCACCTTCCGGATCATTGGCATGGTACACTGGTGCAGTGGCTCAACCGTCTTGAAGACCAACAACTTGGCTGGCCGGAACAGATGCTACATGGCATTGTGCTTTGTCTGGCCAAGGAAGCAGGTGCACATGACCCTAATGGATTCAGACCTATTGTGATCTTCAGCCAGGTCTACCGCACATGGGGTTCCATCCGATCTCGTCAACTCCTGAAGCTCTTGACCGCCCATGCCCCAGACTCCATGTTTGGCTTCATGCCCACCAAAGAGGCTACGCAGCTTTGGTGGACCTTGCAGAGTCATATAGAGCTTGCTCTCCATGACCAACGTCCTCTTGTTGGGCTCAGCACTGACCTCATCAAAGCCTTCAACCGGATCCCTCGCCAACATACCTTCTTTCTGGCTGACCATCTGGGAGCTCCACAGCAGGTCACAGGACTTTGGAAGGATTTCCTCTCTCGCTGCACACGTGCTTTTTTGGTACGTGACCAGTTGAGCGAAGCCACAACTACCTTGGTTGGACTACCGGAAGGAGATGCCATGTCAGTTTACGGCATGGTCCAGCTGAACTATGCTTGGCACATATACATGAGGTTCTTCCGTCCAAATGTCCACTCCTTCAGCTTCGTTGACAATCTTTCTTTGATGGGCTCAACAGTTGAAGATGTCGTGGGAGCACACTTTGCCAACGAGGCCTTCCTCGCTATGTGGTTGATGGAAGCTGATCCCAACAAAACCTTCACATGGGCTCTCCACACAGCGGATCGGCATACTCTACGCACTCTTGGACTGGCCTGTAATTTTGCAGCAAGGGACTTGGGTGGCAGTATGACTTTTTGCAATATGCTGCGGAATCACCACTTGCGTCTTCGGTTTGAATCATTGGAAGCTAAATGGGGAAGACTTACAGCATCCCGTGCACCAGTTGCTCAGAAGATCTCCATTCTTCCTTTGTCTCTCTGGCCTCAAGCACTGTATGGAGCTGAAGCATGTCTCTTTGCGGACAGTCACCTTGGACATCTCCGTACTATGGCCTGCAAATGCTTGAAGCAGAAGACTGCTGGCGTGAACACGGCCCTGCGGCTCACCCTGTCGCACCAGCCTCTTGCTGACCCTGGATTCTATCAGGTGATACGGACCTTCCAAACATTTCGACGTCTTGTGTCAAAAGACTCCAACATAAAGCCAGCTTGGCAACACTTTGAATTCACTTTTGCAGGCAAGCTTTGCCCGGGGCCCTTTTCAAAGCTTCATGTACTTTGTGAATCCTTGGGTTGGAGTCTGGCTCCTCCATATGTCACCACAACTTTCGGACTCACCTTTGACGTCCTTTTGGTTGACTGGTCACAACTTTCCATGCTTCTTCTGGACGCTTGGTTGCAACATTTAGCTCCGTCCTTGCAGCATCGGAAATCTATGACAGATCTCCATGATTTGGACCCCTTCCTGATGTATGAGCAGGGCAAGACCCTGGAGTCAGGTGACCGCGGACTGCTACATGCCTTGCATTCAGGGGCGTTCATCGCCAACGACATGAAGGCCAAATTTGATGTCTCCAAGTCGGGTTGTCCTCATTGTGGAGTTCCTGATTCGGTCACACATTGGTTGGACTGCCCACTCAAAGCTCAACTTCGGGAATCAATTCCGGATTGGCCACAGGACATCCATGCCTGGCCTCGCGCTTTCCAGCAACACCTCCTGTGTCCACGGAATCCGTGGCTTTCTGAATGGTGGCTGGCCTTGGCGGACTTGCCAGATGACATCAGCTCGTTTGAATGTGTGGAAGCCTTGTCACCGCATCATTTGTTCACAGATGGCTCATGTCACAAAGGGCCCGTCAGTGCCTTCAACATGTGTTCCTGGAGCGTTACCAGTGCTACCGCTGGCAAGGTCTTAAGCTCAGGCTGGCTCCGTGGGCTCTCTCAGACGATCCCGCGGGCGGAGGCAACGGCGGTTCTTTCAGCGCTCCACTGGCTTAGTCGGGTTCGAGTTCAGACTTTTTTGTGGGTGGACTCCAAACACACAGTTGATGGAGTACACCACCTTTTGGCCTCCATGTCAGTACCAACTCATTGGAGCAACCAAGATGTTTGGCTTCGCATCCGTGATTTGCTGCATGATTTACATGATTGCATGCCGATTTTTCATTGGTGGCCCTCCCACCTTACGGACTTAAGCTGTGAAGACGGCTTTCACGACTGGGTTAAGAGATGGAACTCTGCAGTCGATGTCCAGGCAGGATTCACCAATCGAACACTGCCGCATTCGCTGGCGGAGCTTCGGATGAAAGCAATTGGCTATCATGAAAACAAGCTGAAGCGCACAGCTGTTCTCTTCAGGTTTTACAAGGCTGTCTTCGTGCAGGACCAGGAAGCCGCTGCGGCTGCTGCTGCGCCTGCCTTTCAGGGACACCTTGACCTGACCACTACCCGTGAGAGACGACCTTTTTTAGTTTCCTGTACAGAGCGATTGCCAATCAACTGGGATACCACCTTTTTTGTACACAACCACCCTGGTGGTACTGAGTTCATTCGCGAGATCATAAACAGATTGTTTGTTTGTGGTGTTGGTGATTCTGGCTTATACGCCATCAGCTGGTTTGAGATGGTTTTCCTTCTTGTTCGGGAGCTGGGCCTTCCTCTCCCCATGTTTATGAGCTCGAGCAATAGGTTTGAACTCCTCCCGGTAGATCGTCATTTTACACGACCTTTGATGACCAGTGCCCTACGCCTGGTCAGGAAATCTTTGCAGGTCTTTTGCCGCCATTTTGGTTTTGAAGATCTTTTGTTTGAAGGGATGGATCGCTCTTCTTTGGGTATTTTCAATCCGGTTGGTGGCTTTTGTCTTTCGATTTCCCTTGAAACACTTGATCGAGTAGCATCTTTGGTTCGCGACTGGACGAGTTCGCGACCTATCCGGCGGGCATGCGATGTTGCCCGGCCTTTCTAGCCGACTGCGTCTCACGAGCTCGCTCAGTGACCACAGCGCTGCCACTTGTGCCGCGCTTGGACCGCTTGAAGTCGGCGATAAGCATTTCAAGTTGTCCTTTCCCCCACTTCTTCCATTTTGCTGCCCAATGGTGAAATCGCGGGTGTGTAGCTTGAAGGGTCAGTCACCTCGTCTCCCGCAGTCACCGGTGGACGCGTCTCCCGCTGACCGTTGTGTCTCCGAGGCAATGGTATCGCAAAGTGGCCTTTGCCTTTCTTCGTCCTGCGAAGCCAGGTGAGCCGCACCGAACGGCTGGCGGGATCACGCGTGTGGCGAAGGGGGGGGGAAACGGCTGAGGGAGCGCTCGGACGCTACGAATTAGGGGCTCCTGGCCTTACTACTGGGAACAAGAAGCTACTATAGGGTATATAGATGTATTAGACTTAGGTATAAGCATGTTGGTTTTTTCCAGGTTTGGGAGTGCATGTGAGGAGAGTTGCGAAAGGTGTGTTGTATACAAGAAATTCACCAGCATTCAGCCTTTGGTTATTAATATCTGAAGAAACACGTCCTGTAGTCTGAATCACTTCAACTAAATCCCTTACAAAAAGAGCCCTGCACCGGCCCTGTACACCGGCCAGCACCCCCAACCAAAGAAAAAAACGCCCAACGAGTTGAGCAGCCCATGTGGTGCCAGGAGAAGTGATCACCACCATGGTGAATGGAAAGGAAGAGACGCGGAACACCGCTCAGGAGGGCGACTTCGTGGTGTGCCTTGGGCGGACGCAGGTCGCGGCGACCGCCCTGGCACAACTGGCACGAGGGCATAGATCAATTCCAACCTTAGGGGCCACAAAGGGTTGGTGTTTGGTCCCATCCAGTGAGTGGATAATGGGCACCCCTAGTCTCCAATAGATAGGCACCCCTTTGTGACTTCTGGAAGGCACATGTTTGGTTGCAGAGCTTTCATTTGCTTTCCATGCTTGTAGCCAACTTCTTGCAGTGCAGGGTATGCTCTGGTATGCGGGACTTTTGTGTTGCAGTGTAGGTTGATCCATTAGGACGGCTCCATCATGGTGTTCCTTTAGGGCAACACGCTTCAAAATTAAAGAAGTCTATGTATTCCACATGGCACCACATCCAATTGGTTTTTGGAATGCTTCAAGAGTTTGACGGATGCTGTGGACGGTCTCCCGGTCACTCTGGACGAAGACTCCCGAGAAAGCAAAGATGAAACTTCTGAGAGTTGGAAGGGGAGATAACAGGAGGCATGCCTTCAGCTTCCGTCTAGTGGGGCCCCTTTTTCCTGCCTTCAGCACTCACTTGATTATGTTGCAATGTCATGCGTCACTAGCATACATAGGAGAGAGCAACAGATTGTGCGACCCTCGGCTTTAAGGCAAGCGAACACCAAGTGGAAGGAGAACTACATTTTATCACATGCAAGGACCTCTGAGGCTTATGAGCCTTTGAAAGCACCGGAGCAGAGTGATCGAGCCGGGGACGGTATGAAAGAAGGTTATATATATATATATATGTGTGGTTGGCCTCCTTTTTGGTTGCTTTTTGTTGAGGAATTTATATGCCTATAAGTCCATTAGTTGGCCCATATTAATCCATATGGACGAATGCAAAAAGAAGAGCCGCTAGTCCAAGTTTAGATCCCTCCAGCATCCGTGTTTGAGGTGTTTTCATTTATCAGTGGCAAAGTGAGAAGGTCACCATCATCCAATAGTTTCAGTTCGTGCTGCAGAGATAGTTCATGTCGTCCTAACCGTGCAATAGTTGAGTATTGTTTGTGTTTGAAGGTGCGTCAATACCCAGACAATTCATGGGACTGGAATCTATGCATGCATTGACCCCTGAAACCACTCGTATGGAGTCAACGTGCTAACCTCATGCAGCTTTTGCTGTGATACATCATGCTTGACATCACGACATGTCGTATATATATATATATATTGTTGTTTGTTGCTCTCCATGCCGGCCGAGTGAGCCACAACTTGAGTGGACCGCAAGACGGGGACCCAGCAGAAATCCTCATGCGGGTGGTATAGGACTAGGAAGAACACTTGGATTGAGCGGGAAGGGTCCATGAAATGACAAAAGCTGCCGCACCTATGAGTTGGCAACACCCTGTAGGCCATAGGAACTATACTATGTGGGCGTTTCAAAATCGCCTCCGGAAACGACGGACCTGCATTTGGAGGAGCAATTCTAGTAAAATCTAAAAAGGACAAAAGGAACTTAGGTGCATCAGGCTTTCCTGCAAAAGGTGAATATCTCAAAGAACGGGTAGGCTCATGCACCTCCCATGCACACCATGAAAATGAGCCCCACATGACAAAGACATGAGTCAAGGTTACTGAGTCAACCAACTGTTTGTATTTAAATGTGTTCAACAAATCATGGGACATCGCTGACACTTGAAATCATCGGTCCGACGCTTTTCCGATGCCCGTTGCCTTTGACGCTCGCTGCTGCGGTCTGAGGACTTATCCAATCCGATGGAGATCCCTCCTGGTCGGCCTGATGCTTCACAACTCACTTCTGATGGCTTCCGTTGCTATAGGCCTGGGCAGGGGTCAGGAAGGGGTCAGGTCTGAGGTCTTCACTGGTGAAAAAAAGGCAGACCGCAAACCACGTTGGCTTGTTCCTGTTCATTTCGTTGGATGCAATTGAAACATCTTGAAACCAGGATAGGGACGAGATGGGAGGACTCTGACTTTGACTGCACTTTGCACATGGGGAGATTCAAGGCACATGCTGGGAGTTTCTAGCATAAGTAGAACTTTGGATCAGTCGATATGATTCTATGCGTATATACATGCATGTAATACAATATACACGTGCCAAATACATAACTGAAACGTCGAATCGACCCACTCTCCAGGTCGCGTACACGCATCAAGGCGTTGAAAGCTACCGACGAACTCCTGCGCAGGCGGCGGCGGTTTGGAAGCGACACCGCTCCGTCAACGCCAAGAGGGTTCTGTTTTGAAATAGGAATGGCATGGAATGGCCTCCAACCTAAGAGCGATGGCCGATGGCCTCTTGAGGTTGGAAAGCCAGCACGCCACTGTGTTTCACCGTGCCTGGTTCAAGTCGGTGATTGGTGGTGGCAGGGGCTCTTCCAACCGTTTCAAGGGAGTCATGATGATCATGCGTCCATAAATTGTGGAAGGGGTGGCCTGGCCTTATGATAACAAAAGTCCATACAGCCAGGGATCACGGTGAAAAGATCTTGGAAGAAAGTAAAGACTCAGCAACCTACGTGACAAAGACTGACAAGAAAGGCACTCCAATTCCAAGCGCAACTCAAATTAGACTCGGTGAGTTGTTCTTGCGTTTGTTTGACGAGTTTTTGGTTGGAGTTTTGCTGTTGAGCCTGTTTTGGAATTTGAATTGTTGAAGTGTTGAATCCCAGGAGTCACAATGGGGTGCCTATTGGAGGCTAGGGGTGCCCATTATCCACTCACTTAGGGACCAAACACCACCCCTTTGTGACCCCTGGTCGGTTTTGTTTTTGGTCGCTTTTGTTCCGCTGGTGTTAGGACTGTTTGTGGTTCTGCTTTGCCTTGAGCCTGGCCTGGGGCTTTGTTTTTGTTTTTCCACTGCCTGTCACATCCCAATCTCGAGCCAGTTGCTGACTGGGCAACATGGATGTTTTGAAGTAGTGGAGAAACTTCGTGTCTTGCGGTGCGGTTGGTTTCCTGCATGGATATGGATTTGAATGTATTGTCTACATCAGATTCTGATTAAACTGCTCAATGTAGGCCATGATGGAACTCCACCATCACCTAACATGTGGCACCCCGGGTTTCATTTGAATCTCATTCTTGGTCGCCGGGTCGCCTGGTCGACGCGGGTGCTCGGCCAGGCATTGTCCCTTCAAGCGCTTCATGGCGAAGTGGGGCACTCCTTGCGTGGCTCGGGGGCCCAGACCAGGACGTGGCGAAGTGGCCCAGCCCGGCGCAGCCCGGCATTTTTTTGCGAACAATCTCTGACTTGAGGTGGCACAAATCCAGGCAAATTGCACGCATATATACCTAGATCTTCCAACTGTGCAACATTTACGCCTTTTGGTTGATTTAAGTAATGAAAAGGCGGACATTCCGCACAGTTGGAAGATCCAGGTATACATATATATATATATGCATTGATTCGTTATTGGCACAAAATGGAGGACCAGTTCTTCCGTTTTCTTCGAACAGCTACTTGATCAAGTTGAGCTTGTGGAACTTGTCAGACCTGGCAGGCATTTTAAAACAGTTCTTGGTGCTCGACTGGTAAGTACATGTACATGTTACAATTTGATATGACATGGGACAGTCCAAAAGTGATAAACCACTTGGCCATACTTTCTCCCTTCCAAAACGACCGGTCGCTCGAGCTGGTCGCTCTTCTCCCCCGGGGCGCCGCCTTTGTGGTCGTTCGCGTGTCTGAAAGCCACGAGGTGCAAGTGGACGACATGTTGGCGGCACAGGTCACCGGAGATACGGTCACAGAGATCTACAGGAGAAAAAGCCGAGCCGAGCGCCGCACGCGTCGCAGGAAAAAAGACTCACTAGACGTCATGATCGATAGGCGCTTTGATTCTTCACCGACGGCCGGAGACGTCGTCGGGAGCTGGAGGATGTGGAGTGATGCTGTGACCCATGTTCAGGGTGTGGTCCGGTCAGTGGTCATGTTGCAAGGCAACAAATGTTCTGCCTAGTCGGGGATTGTGGGGGATTTGTAGGATTTTGTAGGACTCCAGGTGTGAGCAAAGTCAAACGTAAATTTTGTAGAAAGACAATTAAATCTGGAATAGTTCTTTGGCAATTAACTTGCACTGTAAACACTTTGTGCTGGGTATTGCTGGGTCACAGTTACAGTTGCATACTAGCTAGATGTTTGGAGTGTTGAGACTCTTGAACTGTCGGACATTGACGACTGACTCGGCCACAGATCACAAATGGGTGCGTATTGGAATAGGAGACCCCTCATAGACCTTTGGGAACATCAAGAATGGACTAAATCCATTTGTTGGAGGTCCCCCTATTAAAAATACACACCCAAATAATCACATGACCGCTGCCAGGATTGAGAAAACGGTCTTCAGGGAGACCTTTGTCCCCGACAAGTGAAGAACTCGACAAAAATCTCGGCCTCGACAAGGGTGGAAAGGGATAGTGCAAAGGGCAAGGAGTGCAAAGCAGTGTAGCTCCTTTTCCCCCCCCAAACATGCGATAGGTTCATTCAGCTTTGGGATGCAATTAGCATGAACATACTATGTCAGCAGTAACTTGTTCTTCACCGTTGTGCTATAAAGCATGTTTCACCTGATAGTGCACATCGCTATTGCATGTTTTGGGGGTGCTGCCAATGCATGCAACGAACGCGTCATACTACCTGTCTAAGGACATGCGCAAGACCTGTTCAATGGCCTCAATGTTTGTTTGTGGGGTTCTTCTTGACATTCATGGGAATCTAGGAAGATATAGGAAGAGAGCACATGGTGCAGCATGATTGGTTCCCAGTCTCCTTTTTCCGCCAGTCTGCCGAGAATGAAGAGCCTCTTGGACATTAGGAGGGGGTTATCCTTTGACACAAGCTACCAGCAGATACCAACGCATGTATGTCTACCGGAACTTATAGACACTATACATAACACGAACTGACATAACACTTGAAAGAGCAAGGGATACCTGCAAAGTGCCAGGTTCATCGTGTTCATCATGTGTATCAACAATGTATTGCGTATTCCGTATTCTACGTATTAAACCTGGGTTTCAAGGGCGATAGCGCCCCTTTAAAGACTTGTTGCGGTTGTGGATTTGTGAGAGCCTCGGGCTTTGTGGGATCCTTTTCCAACCCAGCTTTCGGCCGAATCGATGTGGAGACATCCTGGGGAGTCTGGCAAACGGCAGGCAAGTTGTGAACTGTCGTACCCACCTTTTTTTGGCCTGTTTTCCAGAACTGCCTGCGCCGCCTGCGCTGTGCGACTTCCCCCAGAGAAGCCAAACGCGCTCAACCCGTCCAGCGGCTGCGTGCCAGAAGGTGTAGCTGCTGGAGTGGGAGTTGTCGCAACGGAATCCGCGAAGACGGTGTCCAAGTTAAAGGCCACAGTTGTCCGACATGGCCCCCGATGTCAAGTGATTTTTCATGGGTGGAGGCATGCCCCACAGACAGAGAAGGACATTCAAGTGACACATCTTAGGTCTTGGTCGGCTCGGTTCAGGTCGGCTCGGAATGAAGACTGTATATAGTATACACCACATCAACGCTGAACTTGACGCTTGGTTCCTGGGAAGGTTGGCGCATGTTGGCGCCCTTTCTTTCGGCAAACTTCTGAAGAGTTGTACGCAATTTGCAGCTGGGGAAGAACAACAAGAAACCTCCCAACTAGGAGCAAAGGGCATCGCTACTTAACAAAGGGCATCGCTACTAGGAGCAAGGACGCTACTAGGGGCTCCTGGCCTTACTACTAGGAGCAAGGACGCTACTAGGGGCTCCTGGCATCGCTAACACCAAATCAGACCAAATCAAGATCCCAACCTTCGCACTCTCCAAGAATCTTCGCCCTCCAGATCGCAATCATCGCACTCATGATGTTTCGGAGTGTCAGTCACCCCGCAACTCAGATGCACAGGGAGACGGAACAAGTCAAGAATAAAGTCGAGTACCAGGTTTTGAGGGCCCGGACCCCTGCTATGGAGACTTTAGGGTTTTTTTGGAGTGTGTTAAAATCGGGAGACCTCCCAGTCGTTCCAACTGGCAGCGGCGGGGCGATCGGGGCTCATCAAACGCGGCTCCCCACATCAACCGACCTGGGCATCTTGGAATGCAACTCCCAGACACGACGACCCATGAAACTGCCATACATGCCGCCCCATTGACCTCCCTGGCACCACCCCAATGTAAGCAGATATGGCAGTCCCATGGAGTGTCTGGGACTGGGAAGAATGCACATGATACACTAAAAGCGAATTCCTTGGAGTCTGGCAGTGGGTGCAGTTGGACTCAGGTGTACTGCCTGGCGTCCAGACGTCTTGAAATGCTTCCACTGAAGGACATCTCTTTTAGATACACGGATGGGTTTATTTGGACTAGAAGGATCAACTGAGCAGAAGGGAAAACATCAAGAAGAACAGATTGTACTAAACAATCTAAACAATTCATTTCACAAGCCTGAAACCAATCCACAGAATAACACCCAATCCCCACCTGCCCAACCCTGGAACTTCTTTTTCACGTGTGAGACATGCAAGCGATCTCTCAGACGCGGCTCCGTTGCGCGTCTGCGTCTGAGACGCCAATCTTCACAGGCGAATCAGACGCCGATCTTCACGTGCAAAGCATTTAGTGCTGCGCACTCCAAAGGCTATAGCAGAGGTCAAGCCTTGGCATGGATCGGTTTCAAGATGAATGAGAGGAAATGAATAATGACATCCTCTTTGCCGCAGGTCGGTCTTCATGAACAGTTTCTCACTCATCCAGATTGAGATCACATCCCCTGTTTTGGGGGGACTTTCAGTGGCGACATCGCGGTGTCGCCGAGATATACGATCCGGCCAGGGTGAAGGCTCGCTTTGGGTGCCCAGCTCCAAGCGGGTCCAAGCTGTTTAGGCCTCTCTTTTTTGCAGGTCATTGGACCTTTGAGGTCACTTGTGAACACGCGTATGTTGTGAATGCAGTGAGCAGGAGGTAGCTGGTGATTTTCACGCTCACATGTTATCGCAGGCCCTCATTGACTTATTCCTAATCGGATCCGTCGGTCTTCGCGGATAGGCCGCGGGTCCACGGTCCGGAGAGGCTGGATTTCCGATCGCAAGATGCCTGGATTTACGTTAGATGACGTGTGCATCTTAGATGTTATAACTATTTAACGTATATATGAACAATCAGATGCAATATGTAGATACACATTGCATTATGGGTGTTGCATGAGACCCATCATCTCAGCTTTGTCATCCCAGAGGTCCAGATCTGCTTCGTCTCACCACTTGGCTCGTTCGCATTTCACCCGACGTTTTCCTGTTGGCTTCCGGGGGTTTCGTCCACGCACGACGGACCGGTGCCAACGGCCCGGTAGCACCGAGCTCGTGGTCCCTCGTAGCACGGCGCGCCCGAAGTTTTGAGTGACCTCAAGAGCCGAAGACCTCAAAGGGTCAGGAGCGTTCAAATCAACTGCCGAACTTTCAGTTGATCGAGAATCGAGATATCTTAGACTTCCGCTGGATCATGTGGACCAAGATTATGACCCTTTCCATGGAGAAGAAGAATGAGCGTGTGCCAAGATCATGAATCACTACTACATGACTCAGATTCATCCAAAGAGTTGAATTGTGCATGGCCTATCCTCGCTCGTCTGACCTAGCTGGGGGAAGACAGTCGCCCGACCCCCTCGGGGGGGGACGGGCTTGTCGGTGTGTCCACGTCAAAAAGGGATCCCCAGGCAGCCTGCTCGATTCGTCAAAAGGGCCTTTGGCCACAAGACATGATGCTCCTCCCATCCTGCATGGTGATTGTGTAAGTTGGGCCATGTAAGGAAGCAATAGGAAGCAATAGGAAGGCCAGAAACCCTGCTTGCGCTGCTTGGAGATACCCAAGGTCTGTGACACATTCATATTCCGAACGCCTTCGACTTTTGCTTCTCTGCTGACCGCGCGAAAAACCAAAAAAGAAGCTGGAAGACTGCCAAGCGCTCCGAAAGGGGGGATTCCACGACTGCGTACCTATGAGAAAGGCATGGATCCGCCTCCAGCTTGATCCGCCTTCCGCAGCTTCCCAGTAAAAGCCTTTGAGAGGTTGCGACTGGTCCCGATCCACCTCTCGGTCTCGCCGTGTTGGATGTTGTGGGTCGTGGTATGTGGGGAATGGTGCACCGGCTGCGTCGGAGTAGGTCGGTTTGGTGCAACGGTCCGGTCGCTGAACTGTCTGGAAGCTACTAGTAGCTCCTGGCATCGCTACTAGTAACAAGAACATTGCTATTAGTAACAAGAACGCTACTAGGTCAGTGTGAGCAGCTTCTTGGCCCTCATAACCACGTCATACGCAGTGGCCGAGTAGATGGCACAACCCCCAAGACGTCATTTAGATGGGACTTTCTGGGGACCGGCCATCATAATGAGTCATAGGAGAGGAAGGGTTGACCCAATCCATGCGCACTTCCATGATATCGAGCTGTCGCGGGCAGCGAGCGATGAACGTCAATGCAGTTCGCATTCCACACGAGTATGACGAAGGTATCGATGGTTTGGCAGGAGGCTCGAGTCAACTACAAGATGTTTGGCAAGAAGACCATCTAAAAGTTTTAGACTTTTGAAACTGAGTTAAGAGTAAGGCGCCTGCAGTTCCAAATCTATTGGAGGGGTGCCCACTATGCTCACTAAGGGGCTAAACACCACCCGTTTGGGAACTCCTGTGCAGCGCGCGCGGATGGTGGATTTGTTTTGTCAGTGGACACTTGAATCCGCCCGATGCACCCTCAAAAGCTAGCTGTGAATCCAAACCAGGCCTACAGCCGAGCGTTGTGTCTCTACAACCAACCACAAATTCACAGACATGTTGAAATGTATTTGTTTTGTTGTGGGCAAAATTTCTCGCCTTCCCCCGGGGCAGGCGCCCGTGGTCAGGCGGCGCGCGAAGGCAGGTGCTTGTTGAGCTTTGGTAGTGTTTTGCTTCATCCATCGGTGCTGTGCGTGAAAACGCTCCCCCCAGGTTGGGCGGTAGGGAATTGACCCAAGAGTCATGAGGGGGCAAGCATCATCCAGTCTCAGCTCTTTTTCTGTTTGGAGGCAGTTCATCCGGATTACGAGGAGATCAGGACAACTGACCAGTTATATTAATATTGGTTACAGAGGAATCACGAGGAATCAAGGTATTTACTTTGGGTCATTTCGGCCGAGTTGGGCCCGTAGCTTTTTTTTAAGTTTTTTGTTTTGTTTAAGCATGGTATAAATGCATTATATAAATACGGCTAGAGATTTGATTGATCCCCATGCCGTTGGTTATTTGATTCAGGTTCGTCAACTTCTGGATTTCTTATGGTTTTACATTTTGAGCGATCAACCTTGCTACATGGTGCCGCTTCTTCGGCGCCGGCACCAAAGGGATAAACTGGTCGACTCAAGAGGAAGCCTCTTAGGGTTTCTGAGATCTTCCAACAGAGGCTAAGTGACCTTATAGGACCGTAACCTGGGGTACCTATAGGATAGTCTATAGGGTTCTTCAACCTCTGGTTCTGCATGGATTTTCCATGATTTTCCCGTGTCAGCGGTCGGTCGTGTCGTGTTGTGTTGAGACTCGAATCTGTATCCACAGATGGCGAGCGTGCGGAGTTCGACCTTGGATGTTTCTTTGCGGATTTCACTGGCTTGAGACGATTTCAGTGGCGACCGTGGCGTCTCATTTCGTCGAAGTCCTTTTAAGTCTTGGGAACCTGGAAGCACTATGGACCTGAACAGCTGGAGTTTGTTTTTACTAAAAATTTGACTATAAGAATAATTTAAATCAAATGGTGGTTGTTGCGTGTTGGAGTCGCAACCAAAAGCTCATCATGCGACCAGCGCCTTGCATGGTGCCCTTTGCTGGGCGCCAGTGGCGCCGTCATGGCTGGAGCTTCGAGGTCTTTATGGCTCCAGGAGACCTCCCTGAAACTGGACAGCTACTGCTGGCGTGAGCACACCTTGGCCAAGCCCATCCAATACTCCATCCCCACTCGCAGCTGAGCCGTTTTTGCTGGACATACTCCCAAAGGAACAGATGTCTGCAGTCCAAAAGTCTCGGTGCTGTGATCGGTTCAGGTCAACAGCAAAAAAGACATATAAAAAAGCATAACAAGCCCCTGATGCCCTAAGATTGGAGGGGGGATCATGACGGGGGACAGAGTTGTTTGACACAGTATGTTTGGCCCGCATGTGCCCTCTCTCTGGGCCCCGTACTGAGTCACGGGCACGGTGTCCGTTGCCAGGTCTCTTAAGACGTGTTCACCGGACATCCCTCCGCCTCTTAGAACCTTCGTCTACCCTTTCACTACGAAGTCTGGAGGGGATGACCTTGAATCACATGACCAAGAGAGGTGGAGAGATCTATCCTGAACGATCCTGGATTCCAGGATGGAATCCTAGATCTCTCCTACAATGTGCTTTGGGCCCTGTTCCGCATTTGGAGCTCTTGCACACCAATTTTTCAGGTCCCCTACCCCCACCCCCCGTACTTTTGGGAATGATGACGATGTCCACATGATTTTCCTGTCCCAGACAGGTTGTGTGTTGGGAATTTCAACTAACCTCGACGAGATCGCTCCAAACCGATCCCCATTCGCTCGGCCCAGCTCTCACCCCAAGGCAAATGGCAGCACTACCGGCCGCTGCGCGAGAGGCGGAAGACTTGGGACTTCGCACCGTTGATCCCCGGCGATCCGCAGACCTATCAATACACCGAGGACCAGGGGTTCATGAGAGGGGGCATGATGGAGAGGGCCCAATCTCAGAGGGGTTGTTGGGGGCAATACGGCACAGTGCATGCCACATGTGGGGGTTTGGGATGGAGGAAACTGCGCTGCCGCACTGTGGACGTTCTTGCTGGGGCCGCCCTGTGGTTCCTGATTGGCAATTCATAGTGGGACGCCTCACATCTTTGGATTTAGAGTCCATTTAGACTCGTTTCGAACTGCGGTGCTCGGCAAACCGGTGACACCGTGGAGAGAGGTGTTTGTCCTCCGAAACTGGTATCAAGCCCACCTTCTTGGAGGGTCTTGTTCTGTCATAATTTGATGAGCACTGCCGAAGACCGGCCGTATCGGCACAGTGTCTAATTATAGATGTATCAGCACAAAGGCCCACAAGTCGCACTAGCACTAACTATGTATCTGTCTATCTACCTATCTAACCTAATCTAATCTAGTCTAATCTTATCTTATCTAATCCTATCCAATCTAGTCTAATCTTATCTATTCCTATCTAATCCTATCTATTCCTATCTAATCCTATCTAATCCTATCTATTCCTATCTATTCCTATCTCTTCCTATCTCTTCCTATCTCTTCCTATCTCTTCCTATCTCTTCCTATCT